CCTCTTCCCAGGTATTTCTGGTTGTTGTCAAGTTAACAAATGAACCAGCACAATGCTCAGCATTAAATATCTTCTTCATCTTTGATTGGCTTATCAGCCTAGTCTATTCACTCACAAATGGTGGAGCGGCTCAGAATATTGTCTAGGTGGTATAAATAAGAAATGAAAATTAGCCAGTGTTCTCCTGGAGAATGCCACATATTTGCTGGATACCGAAACAATTCATGCAAAAATGTTTTTCAATTATGTTTAATTTTAATTTTTGCCTCTCATTTTCCCTCTTTAGTGTATTCATTCTGTTAAGGAAAATTGAGTGAAATCCAAAGCCACATAAAAGCTTCCATTTTACTCAATCCTCAGAGCTCAATTTCTTTAAATTAGATCTGTTCTTGCCTTTAACCAGATCTTGAAAATGTTCTTGACTTTACATAATGAGAACTTGAAAAGCTAAGAAAGAACAGCGTATAGATTCAGTTTTAAAAAGTGATTTTTAAATTTTTGTGAGTTATGTTTGAATGCAAATGTCTTACAGTTTTCTTGGCCATTATGTTCCCTTTTAATACTCTAGTAAACATTTTCAAATTTTCTGCAAAGTTTGTTTGTTTATTCAAAAGTAAATAGAATTGCTTGACTCTTGGGAGGGGTTCTTACTATATAAATACAGACTTACACAACAAACAGGATTTATGTTTGCCAAAACAAAAGAAATTTAAATATACAATAAGCAGAAATGATCAAATCAATTATAGTACAGCCAATTGATGTTACCAGTATTCTACTTTAATTAGAAGGCATGATTTGGGGTGAAAGGATAATGTCCAACCACAATATACTATTAAATAAAAAATCAAGCCTGTACTTTTAATTCTGATTTTAGCATACCATAATTCCTCTTTCACAGCATAATGGCTCTTTCTATGACTCTAATTTGCCTATATCCCCTTATATCTGCATGTATACAGATTGACCTAGTTATTGAGGAAATAAAGAGTGGTATCAATACTATCTTAATAGATGACTTTAAAATGTCTTGTTTTAAAAATAATCAGTGATATATGGAATTGCAAAAATATGTCATACTGTTAAATACATGCTATGCTTCGGGATTCCTAAAAATAAAAATACCACTTTTCAGTAATGAGCGCACTTGAAACTAAGAGCCATGCTTCCAAGACTCCTACACTAGTGTTTGAAATAATGTGACTATTTGCCTTTTGTGTCAGAGACTCCACTCCCCGAAGGGGGTCTGTTTGCCCAAATTCTGTGCATTTTTCCATGTTAATGTTGTAACAATGATTTCATTTATTGCTAGTTACTTATACTGTCACATCATTTTAGACATATCACAAATGAAGACTGAAAACAAGGAAATGATTTCTGATATTTGTTCATAGTGGCGAGCACCTTGCTCCAGATAATCATTTCATTCCAGCAATAGCAAGGTTAGCGAAAAGGATGTTGTCTCAAAACATTCCCAGGTACTTAAACTTCTTACACAAAATATGTTTTAAAACAATGAAAAAATGCATAAAAATAAGATGTTTTTTTCTCATGCGCATTCCCAAAATCTGGTTTGTAAAATCAATTTAAGTACGAGACGTGTTGCTGTTTACCCTAAGTACATAAATACCATCTGGACACAAATTTCCTCTTTACCATGTGTTGACTACTCAGTTTTTATCCCTATGACTAAATATCTGGGTGGACTTAAGTGAAGAAGGATTGATTTTGGCTTCTGATTTCAGAAGCATCTTCAGAGCACAGAGGGTATGGGGAAACAGAAGTGCACATTGTAAAGGCCTACAAGTAGGAAAGGGGAATCCGCAGAGGAATTGGGGTACCATACAATCCCCAAGGATAAGGCCTGTGTCCTACTTCCTCAGTCAGGCTCTACCCCCTCCCTTTGATCTTTTCCCAATAATGCCATCATGTTTTGAATCCATCAAGAGCTGGTCCAAGCAGTGAGTCAGAGCCCTCAGGATCCAACCACCTCTGGAATGTCCTTGCTGGCAACCCCAGGTGTGCTTTGCTAATTTTTTTCCACACTCCTCAGTCTGATTGACTTGACAAGTAGGATGTACTGTCTCACCATACATAATTAGTATGGCCATATGTTCATATATCTTCTAAGGGCTTGAGTGTTTGTTTTTAAAATATGTTATAAATGTGTGAAATATTCAAACTGGCAAAACTCAGGGGGAGTTGAGTCATTGGGATTCATACATTCTAGCTGTAAAAGATATTATCATGCAAGAACTTAATTTAGCTTCTAAACCCCAGGGATAAGAGGTTTGTTTGTTTTCTCCTAAAGAACAGTGATCACAACTATACATTTTAAAACTTCAGTCTATGGCCACAAAACAGAGTTCACTGAGGGCTGGTTCCAACAAAAAGGGCAAAAGGAAAGAATGAATGGTGGATTCCCAGTTTTAGTGGGGTAATTGGATATGCAAGAAATAATTTTATAATAGATTTTGAATGTGTAGCCCCTAAGTAAATAAGAAAAGATAAATTGGAGTAAAGTGGAAAAAAGAAGCGAGATAAGACAAGTCCACACAGAAAAAGCTAGAATGTTCAGCTGGAGAGAAACAATGACAAGAAGAAAAGGACAGGCAGAAAAGAAGCAGAGGAACAATATAAATCAAGTAAGGACAACAAACTAAGCAGTGGATGGATGGAAGATAGATAGATAGATAGATAGATAGATAGATAGATAGATAGATAGATA